GTTTGTGTTTAGATGCCTTCCAAAGCCTCGGGCTGTCATGGGGTGGGCTTCTGGAGCTTTTCATTGATTCATGGTCCAATGCTGGGATTATGGATGTGAGTGCAACATCCACCCTGGGGTGGGTAGCTTGCATACAATATAGGGGAGGGAAAGAAGTTTGCTGTCTGTTGCTCCTCCCTTTCTGCTCTTGTTGCTTTTGTTGTTGTCTGCTGCCAGGAACTGTTGCCTTCTGCCATGTGCCACTCTGCCTTGGAGTCAGCCAAGCACAGACTAAAATCTCCACAACCTGTGTGCTAAATAAACCTTTCCTTCCTTTATTTTGGGCTTCAAGTATTTTGTCTCGGCAGTGAAAGAAAAGTAACCAAGACACACAATAATGTTATAGAATATACATCATATATATTAATGTTTCTGATATTTCTAGAATAATCCTAGCAGGTTTTTCTTTTGCAATGCAATATCCATTGAAAAAATAAAACAAAACAGAGAAATACAGTGGCTATCTTGTCCCATTAGACTCTTGTGTCAAGAATGGTCTCCTGAAATTTTTCCTTTCAGTTTATTAACCTCAGTGCAGAGTCCCAGCTAGAAATCATGTGAACTATTCTTCAGACTGGATTGTGTATTATTATTTTATAGACATGTGATTTTAGTTATGATATTGACAGGAAAACTACAGGGCTGCTGACTATGTAATATTGAAACATATTGGTGTTTTTGACACACTAACATCATTTAATGCTAATATTGGTTATGCTAACTTCCCCCAGTATGAGGGGACATCTCCTTTGCAGAATTTGTGTGTTATATGTAATTAGTAAAAAACTGTGGTAGAATATTTTAAGATTATGTGAAATTTAACTTAAATTGCTCACTGACCTGCTAGCATTAGTCTATGACCCTTCAAATGATTCATTTATATTTCTTTATGGCTGAATAGCGCTCCATGGTGTGTAAATGCCATATATTTTTATTCATTCATCTGTTGTTGGACATATGGGCTACTTCCAAGATTTAGCTATTTTGAATTGTAGTGTTATAAACATGGGTATGCTTATGTTCTTGTAATATGATGCCTTTAACTCTTTGTGGAAGATACATAGAAGGGGGACAGATAAGTCAAATGCAATTTCTACTTTTAATTCTTTGAGAAAAATTCCATACTCATTTGCATATGATTGTACTAGTTTATATTCCTACTACTAATATAGAAAGTTTCCTTAATTCCTGCAGGAAAACCAGCATTCTTTATTCTTTGATTTCTTGATGATTGCCAAACCTTCTGATATAAGAAGAAATACAAGTGTTGTTTTAATTTGCATTTCTGTAATGGCTTGAAATATTGAACAATTTTCATATGTTTTTTCATCATTTGTACTTCTGAGTGTGTCTATTCACTTCACTTGCTCATTTTTTTTTTTGGTTTTTCTCCGGTACCGGGAACCGAACTCACGACCTTGCGCTTGCGAGGCAGGCGCTTTTGCCGCTGAGCTAAGTCCCCAGCCCACTTGCTCATTTTTTGATTGTCTCTTTTATTTTGGCTGTTCTCATTTTCTGGGTTCTATATATACTCTACATTTTAGTGTTCTGTCAGAAGAACAGCTGACAAAATTTTGCTTCCATTCTATAGGTTGCCTCTTCATTTCATTAGTTACAGATGCATATCTAAAAAGTGCTATGAACAGATATTCTGGATATTTCACATTAGAAGAAAGGCTTCCATTTGTAATGACAATTCACCTGAGATAGGAATTCTAAAGTGATGAACTAGAGAAGCAACTAATGATAGACACCAGTGTACAAGCTGGGTGATGAAAAAGAAGAAAAGCTTCAGAATTCATAACTCTAAATACCCAACTACTCAGATTGTCAACTTCTATTGGAGGAAATTTTAGCAATGTTACTGTCCTCAAAGTCATCCCTGTTTGTCACATCATTTGGCTGGAAATAATACTGATTTTTTTGGGACATAGTGTCCTAGTTATATATGAAAAGAGTGATTTTCTTTGTATTTTTTCAGCTGTATTACTTGTATATAACATATTTGGTCTCTGTGTATTGTTACCAGGGCACAACTGTATTAATGTCCTTGACATCTGTGCTACATGATGAAAAAGAATTTCCCAGACCAGAAACTTTTGATCCTGACCACTTTCTAGATGACAGTGGCAAGTTTAAGAAAAGCAACTACTTCATGCCGTTCTCAACAGGTAATAGAAATTGATTTCCCTATGTACAGCAAGAGACATACATTATTTTGAGATCAGCTGGAATGGTGCCTCCTTTTTTTCTGGTCAAATATCTGTTTGTACATGATTGAAAGTCTCACTTCCAATACCCAAGTTCTATTCTGCTTATGACATATTGCCATTGTTTGGTGGGCTTCAGAGTTCTTTTTTCACTGTCTTGCACATTACAAAAGCTAGAGTATAAGTTATTTGTATTCTACCCTATTTACATGATGTAGGTACCCTCATCTCTTCCAAGAAAGCAAAATTATATTAAAGTTCCTTCAACCACCATGACAAAAGTGAACTAACTCTCCAGTGTGTTTGTCTTCTATGTTATGTTGATGTCCACCTACTAAAACAAGTGATGGATATAATTTCTCCCAGAGAACACAGTAGCGTTTGAAGCCACATTCATTTAGGGAAGAAGATAAGTAAAGAGTTCATTGTAATATTAGTGCTGTGAGATTATTAAGCACATATTGGTGGGAAGAGTTCCTATGGGAGAGAAGCTGCAATCCTCCTGTACCCTCCTATCTCAGTGTGAGGCATAAAATCAAAGAAGCAATATGCTAGTAGCATAAAGTATTATTTGAACTGCATCAAAAGAAGGAATAGGAAAGATAGTGCATGTTTAAGGAAGAAATTATACAAAGGAAAAGAATACTTGTTCTTAATTAAGAATGTCAGATTTGCCAACAAATAACCAAGGAGATCATGAAAGCTTTGTAGATGCATCCTTTCTTTATTCCTCTACAACAATAGCAGAGCCCTACACTTCCTCCAGTTATCACCCTGACTCTTGATTATTGGATCTCCCCCTTACAGACTGTTTGCTAACACCCCTGCATTTATTCTCTGTTTTCTGTGTCCTTTGGTGTTTTCTTTATATATAGCACTGTGGATCCCACAAATATAAAAAAAGAATTCTTTTCAAAAATTCATATTTCAACACAGTGCAATATAACAATAAAAGTTAGTATAAATTTATGATTTAGGTGACCTATAGTTCAATGAATATGAACATATTGTTGAGGAAATGCAGAGAAATAGGAATTTATTTCATGAGGGTCTAAAGAAAGAAGGTCAAGAGGAAAAGAAATTTGACCTATTTCTGATGTATGGAAAGGTTCACCTGAAGTAATCTCATGTTATAAACTGGTAACTTCCTGGCAAGGAGCAGCTAAATGAAAGTATGTGTATCTGCTGCTGTGAATACAGTGTGTTTTGAGGTGGTTAATGCAAGTGTTACAAGGTGATAGAGTGCAAAATTATCATGGATCATTTGATCAAAAGCAGGGTGCACAGGACAAGATGATGTTTCTCTAGGAAAACAAAATTAAAACTTGAAATCTCAAGAAAATTCATAACAGGAGCATTTTTTAAAGTGTGGGTATGAAGCTAGTACTCAATGCATATTTTTGAATCTATGCACTATTGCATTAATTTCATATGTTATATGGGTTGCTTATCTGTTTTCCACTTGCATATCTAGTTGTCCATCTATCCATACACCCATCTAGGTATCTATTCATTTATCCATTCATCCTTCTGTCTTTGGTTTTTACAGCAACTGTTACATATGAAGAATAACTACACTATTTTATTTTTTCTATTTTCAGGAAAACGTATTTGTGCAGGAGAGGCCCTGGCCCGCATGGAGCTGTTTTTGTTCCTGACTACCATTTTACAAAACTTTAATCTGAAATCCATGGTTGATCCAAAGAATCTTGATACCACTCCAATTGTCAATGGGTTTGCTTCTGTCCTGCCCTCATACCAGGTCTGCTTCATTCCTGTCTGAAGAAGAGCAGACTGCCTGGCTGCTGCTCTGCTGTCATCTGCTATCCCCTTCTCTGCATCATAGGCTACCTTCATCCATTAGAAATGGCTTCACTGATATCTCTTTTTCCATCTCCCCATTTAGTCAAAATCCAGAGGAGACTCAAAGTCTATTGTGAAGTTTCTCTGTGATTGCACCAGTTTGCATGCTATTTCCTATATTCTGTAATACTTGCCTAATACTTATCTAATGCTAAATTGCTGGTACATTATCTTTGTTAAAAACTATAAAGGGGTTCATGACTGAGGCCCATGTGCCCTCCATTAACTACCTGGGGACCTTGGACTGGCAACCCATGTCCTGCCAACATTGTGGTTCATGGCTGAGGCCCAGAAGAGGCTTTTATTAACTGCCTGAGGATCCTGGTCCTGGAAACCCACACTGTATGGACAGTGTGTGGTTTGTGGCTGAGACCTGAGTGCCCTCAATCAGCTGCCTGAGGAACTTGGACCAGTACCCCACACACTGTCAACATTGTAGTTCATAGCTGAGGCCCAGACACTCTCAGTCAACCAACTGGGGAGCTTGGACCTATGGCCCACACTTTGCTGACAATGTGGTTTGTGCTGAGGCCCAGAAGATACAGATACACTCCACTAACAGCCTGAGGACTCTTATTCCAGAACCCCTCATTCTGTTGGCATTGTGGTTCATGAATGAGGCCCTTATGCCCTCAATCAATTGCCTGGAGAACTTTGACTGGCAATCCACATTCCATCAACATTGTGGTTCATGGTTGAGGCCTGCATGTCTTCAGTCAACTGCCTGGGAACCCTAGTCCCAAAGGCCAGGGTTCCTTCTGAAATTGTGATTCTCATCTGAACCGTGCACTCCATCAATGGTCTGGGGATGCAAGACGTGATGGAAGGTCTCCCACTGCCATCATGGAGCAAGCCTAACATCCAGCAAGTCTAGGGATCCTAGAGGCCTTCAGTGAGCTGCCCGGGATGAGTGAGGCTTGCCACTGGGTCCCTGGCATCTAATATGAAAAGAGGAAGGAGCAAAATGTAATCTCAGAACTTCACCCCACCCAGAACAAGTCCAGGAGACATTGAAATAGGAGAACTTGGTGGTCACACACCTGAAATCTCTGAAATGAGCACAACTGAAGTAAAGAAACAACTCCATCAGAGTATAGAAGAAATCAGATCAGAAATAATCTCTCAGATAAGAAATGAAATGACAACAATAATGAAAGAATTTCTCAGCACATCTAAAGAAGATATATATATATATAAAATGGATGAACCTAGAAAAATGCAGGACACATTAAATGAACAATATATGAGACAACTAGAATGCATGAAACAGATTAAAGAGATATCCAGGAAATCAAAACTTCCATCAAAAACTCGCAAAACCACTTGAATGAAGTCAAAGATAGACTGTTAGATCTTGAAGACAGCATGGTAGTTAATGATCTCAAAAGGAAAAGTCTCATAAAAATAAGAAGAAACCAGGAACTATCAGTTCAACAGCTGCAAGACAATGCAAAAAGAAATGTAATACTAATAGGTGTCAATGAAATAGCTGGAGTCAACACAAATGACATAAAAAGACTATTAGCAGAAATAACAGCAAATTTCCCAAGTATGGAAAAAGAATTTGACATACACTAAGGGAGGCATATAGAACTCCAATTAGCCATAATGAAAATAAAATTACACCCAGTCATACAATGATCAAGATCCCAGAAATCCTGGAAAAGGACAGACTGTTAAAAGCTGTTAGAGAAATGAAACAGGTCACATATGAAGGAAAGTCCATCAGAATCATGGCAGATTTCTCAACACAAACCATTAAATCAAGAAAAGTTGGAGTGAACTATTCCAGGTCCTACAACAAAACAGCTTCCAAGGCAGATTGGTGTATCCTGCAGAACTATACTTCAGAAATAATGGAGAAATAAAATATTTCCATGACAAAGAACAACTGAAGAATTTCATGAGCACCAAACGAACCCTACAAAGAGTATTAAAAGATATTCTAGAAAGATAGAAATGACCACAATTTCAAAAACAATAGAAAGGAATCACCTAGCAGAGCAAACAATTAAAAGGAGAGTAAAAGTAGGAAACCAACAGCTGGTAAATAACATAACAATGATAAGCTAACACATAACAGTTATAACCATTAATGTAAATGGCCTCAATTCACCAATCAAAGGAAGCAGACTGGCAGAGTGGATCAAGAAACAAAATCCAACAATATGCTGTATACACGAAACACATTTAACTCAAAAGGAAATTCATAGACTGAAAGTCACAAAGTTGGAAAACAATCCTCCATGGGACAGGAATCCAGAGGAAAGCAGGGGTGGCTTTCCTGATGCAAATATTGCAAACTTCAAACCAAGAATGAACAAATGAGATTAAGAAGGTCACTACATACTGGTCAAAGGAAAACTCCAAGAGGAAGAGATAACAATTAAAGAAATGTATGCACCAAATATGGGAGCACCCAACTATAAAGAGAAACCTTAATAGACATGAAAAACCAAATAACAACGCTATTGTAATGGGGGAGCTTAACACCCTATTGACACAAAGGATAGGTCAACTGAATAAAAAGTCAGCAAATAAATAACAGAACTGAACAAAACTTGTGAATAAATGGATTCAGTAGACCTTTACAGAGTGTTCCACCCCACAACATCAGAATACACATTCCTCTCAGCTGCATATGGGACTTTCTCTGAAATAGACCACACACTAGTCCATAGAACTTGCTTCACTAAATGCAAAAGAATTGAAATATCCCATGCATATTATCTGGCCATAGTGCAACAAAACTGGAAATTAATGACAAAAGGAATCACAAAATCTCCCATAAACACATGGAAATTAAATAACAGCTTCCTGACCAACAAACGATTCACAGATGAAATTAAAAACAACATTAAACAATATCTACAAGCAAGCAAAAATGTAAATACAACTTACTGGAATCTGTTGTATGCACTGTAAGCAGTCCTCCAAGGGAAGTTTATAGCAGCAAACTTATAAATCAGGAAAACAAAAAGAGAACAAATAAATAGCCTAATGTGGTACCACAAATGTTTAGAAAAAGAAGCAATTCTCCCTAATTCATTTATGGAGGCAAGTATGATACTAGTACCAAGACCAAAGAAATATCCAACTAGTAGAGAGAACTACAGGCCAATACCCTTAATGAATGCAGTTGAAAAAATACTCAATAAAATAGTAAAAAAACAGAATTCAGAAAATTATTAGGAATATTATACACCATCACGAAGTAAATTGATCGCAGGGATGCAGTGATGGTTCAATACATGCCAGTCAATTAGTGTAATACATCATACCAACAGAGCCAAAGACAAAAACCACATGATTATCTCAATAGATGCATAAAGAGCTTTTCACAATGTCCAGCACTCATTCCTAATAAAAACCCTACAGAAAATAGGAATAGATGGTCTTTACCTCAATCTGATCAAAGCCATCTATGACAAACTAACAGCCAACATCATACTAAATGGACAACAAATGAAAACTTTCACCATTAAATCAGGAACAAGACAGGGAAGTCCATTATCATCACTCCTATTCAACATAGCTCAGGAAACACTAGCCAGAGCAATTTGAAAAAAGAGAAATATAAAAGGAATAAAGATAGGAAATGATGAAGTGAAATTATCATTACACTCAGATGACATGGTACTCTACATGCAAGACCTGAAAAACTCCACCAAAAGACTCACAGAATTGATCAATAAATTCAATAGCATAGCTAGATACAAAGTCAACACACAAAAATCGATTACAATCCTATACACAAACAAAAAACACTGAGAGAAAAATTAAGGAAACCATACCTTTCACAATAGCATCCAAAATTGATACTTAGGAATCAGTCTAATGAATGCAGTAAAAGATCTATACAGTGAAAGCTATCATACTCTGAAAAACGAGATCAAAGAGAATTTCAGAAAATGGAAAGATATTCCTTGTTCATTGATAGGAAGAACCAGCAGTGTGAAAATGACCATTCTCCAAAATTTTTTGTACAGATTTAATGCAATCTCTATTAACATATGATTAGTATACCTCATAGATCTAGAGAAAACGTTCTTGAAATTCATCTGGAATTAGAAGAGACACAATATAGGACAAGCAATCCTGGGCAACAAGGACAAGTCAGGTGGCATCACAATTTCTGACTTGAAATTATACTACAAAGCTACCGTGATAAAATCAATATGGTATTTGGCAAAAGAACAGGCCTGAGAATCAATTGAACAGAAGGAAGAAGCAGCTACAACCACAAACACACTCAAGATCTTTATCTTTGACAAAGTAGAGGAACATGTTCACTGGAAGAAAGATAGTCTCTTCAATAAATGGTACTGGAAAAACTGGCTTGCCACATGCCAAAGACTAGTCTAGACCCATGTCTATCACCATGCAAAAAACTCAAGTCAAAATGAATCAGATATTTAAATATTAACCCAGAAACACTGAACCTACTGGAATTGAAAGTAGGTAAAAATATTGAAGGCATAGGGTCAGGCAGAGAGTTCATGAACAAAAACCAAACTGCACGGAAAATACTTCAAAAAATCAACAACTGCTCTCATTGAACAGTTTTCCACATCTAAAGATATCATCAGCCGAATAAAAAGAAAACCCACTAATTGGGAAAAAGTTTTAGCCAAGTGTCCCTTGGACAAAAAGCTTCTATCTAGAACATGTAAAGAATTTAAAAAGTCAGTCCACTCAAATTCAAAGATCCAGTGCAGAAATGGGCAGCTGAGATGAATACACACGCTGCAGATAAAGAATTACAAATGGAAAATACATGAAAATATGTTCAACATCATTAGTCATTTGAGAAATGCAAATTACAACAGCACTCAGATTGCATCTAACCCCAGAAAGAATACCTATCATTAAGGAAATAACGATTAGGGGGCTGAGGATATAACTCAGTGGCACAAGCACCTGCCTGGCAAGTGCAAGGTCCTGAGTTTGATTCCAAGTACCAAAACAAAACAAAAACAAAAACAAAAAACCAAACAACCCAACAAAAATAAAAAAGAAACTAACCAATAACAAATGTTAGTGAGGCTGTGGGAATAAAGGAACACTTCTCCACTGTTGGTGGGAGTGTAGATTGGTGAAACCACTGTGGAAATCATTTTGGAGATTCCTCAGTAATCTAGGATTAGAGGTCCTATTACACAGCCATTTCCCTTTTGGATATTTTCACAGAAGAACTGAAAACATCGTATCACAGTGATATATATGCACTCATTTTTTATAGCAGAGCAATTTGTAAAAGCTAAGTCATGCAAGCAACCCAAATACCGATTAACTGAGGAATGAATAAAAAAGTTGTTGTATTTTTATATAATGGAATATTACTCAGCTATAAAGAAAGATAAACTAGAGGCTTTTATAGGTAAATGGACACAACTGGAGACCATACTCATAAGTGAAATAAATCAGAACCGTGCGTGTGAACACTGTATTGTCTCACTAGTGTAAGAATCTGAAAGAGTGAAACGATAGGAAACCACTGAAGAGTAAAGGGCAACTGGGATGTAGGAAAAGAAAACAGAAAGAAGGAGAAATTTTGTATGTATGTATATACAGGGTAGCTAACATAGTTGTTCTACCATCTTCTATTTCTTTGCTGAAAGAAACTGTCAATGAATCCTTGATGGATCAATATTGCATGTCTCTATCTGTTTTCCTGAGAAACCACTTTGAAGATATCAATATGTAATACAACAACATTGTTAATTTCCTACCCCTTTGTTTGTAACTGTGTATTGTCTGTATTGTTCTTCTGCTGTTATGTAAAATAATGTTTATGTGTTAATGTTTTCCTCCTTTAATTTTAAAATTACATAAAAGAAAGAAAGATAGCCTCTTTGACAAATGGTGCAGGAAAAATTGGCTTTCCACCTGCCCGAGACTAAAACTAGGCCCATGTCTATCTCCACGCACTAAACTAAAGTCGAAATGGATCAAAGATCTAAATATCAAAACAGAAAAACTAAATCTACTCGAAGAGA